AAAGTGGGCCAATTTAGTCCCAATGAGTATTGAAATAGTACACTTACATGTATACTACTAGTACACTGATATTTGTATACTTACTACATAAAGTATACTTAAAATATACTTGAACTTTACTTAAGTATACTTACTAAAATAAACTTGAAGTATACTACTTTTTGGTAAGGGATAGCACCTGTGACTAATTAAATATCTTTACGTTTATTACCTGACACATCCAGATTGTTCACCCTGGACCTCCACTGCAGCACCAGCTTTTGTCTCAAAACTTCGTTTAATATAAAATAAAAGGTCAACACTTAAGTCCAAATGTCAACCAAATACGTGTTTGCTTCCACCACGGCACACGTGTGTATTCTAAACGACACTACTACAATGTGCAAAATGGAGCATATATCGATTCATTTCCACGGGGAAAGAGGAGATTCAACTATAGGCCAACCTACCTGCTCGAGCTTGGTTCATGAGGAACTGCTGACGCACCAGCCGCTTGGCGCTACTCTCTCAGTCTCTCTCATCTCCTTCACCGCTAGATGGCACTCTGTGACCTCAAAACGTGCTCTGCACAGACAGACAGCTCCAAGAACAGACATGCATGAATACGATTCTCCTCAAATAGCTAGGCGACTCCACACTCCAGGCGAGCATGCATCAGAGCTAATCTAAGCCCAGACGAATTTGGGATCACTTTCCCAGCATCTGTAACTGATCCCACTTACTGTGATTGCATTTAATGGTCTGATGGCTGTATTAAAACAGGATGTATTCTGATGTATTCATGACAGCCGATTGACCAACACTAAATGATCCCAGAGATGCAGCTTTGAGAGCCCTTGCTTAGCATATTCTGTTTTTAGCTGCTGTTAACATGTCAGCATCAACAAAGATTCCAATTCATCTTTACACAGACAGTTTTTGTGTGCGTGTCATTAAAATATAATCTGAAAAGTCCCAACTTTTTGGTTGTCCACATGAGGGATGTTGTGCTAGCCTGTTGTCAGGTTGAGGCCCCGGAAATGTGCTGCATTCATCAATGACAAATGCTAGTAGCTCTTGCCTTCTTCTTTGGGTCAAATTAATGAATAACAAGGACCCGTGTTTCCTTTCTGCCAGGAAAAGATCTTCTATATTGCTGAATAATTTTAAGAGCACCATAAAAAGAGCAGACAACAACAAAATATCTCTACTGAATTTCATAAAACCTTCAGTTTGAACAAGAAGTTGAGTCTATGCATAAACTGGGGCTGGGCAACTTATTAAATGTCCTGTGACTGGATGACCATATATAAAGCAGTTACTGGTCAGAGTGCTCTGGTTAGAGCTGAGTGGCTTACTGCTTGTGGTTGTGTTTAGTACCACAGCATGTGTAAATACATACCCATTCATTAACAATCTATTGCTAAGCATCCACCCAAACAATGAATCATCTCCAGTACTGGACTATGTGACTTTTCCAAGATGACGGCATATGTGATATTCTTAAATATATATTTGATTACACGCTATTTGGCCAGGTTTAATGGTTAAATCCCACTCTGTAATTCTTCACTTGGCCGTCTCCTCCCAGATGGCTGACTGTGATTGGAAGTTATGGGCCCTCGGATTGCAGTGTGAAACTGTCTGGGGTAAATGAAGATGCTTACTCAAGCGTATAACAAAAGATCCGGGTTACTACGAGACGTCCTAAGAAGTTTTAACACTGATAATGGGCTCATTCTTCCAAGTTAAAAGCTTAGAATAGCCCTATTGTATGTGATCAGCAAACAAAATGTACATTAAATTTGCACCATTCCTGTTAGCGTCACCATAAGAACTTGAGAAACCACCACATTCTTTGCCATTTGTGAAGGTACACTCTTAAAAATAAAGGTGCTTCACGAGCCATAGAAGAACCTTTTTGTCTAAATGGTTCCATAAAGAACCTTTAACATCTGAAGAACCTTTCTGTTTCACAAAAGGTTCTTTGTGGCTAAAGAAGGTTCTTCAGATTATAAAAAGGTAAGAAAGAGATGGTTCTTTAAAGAACCTTTGACTGAATGGTTCTTTGTGGAACCAAAAATGGTTCTTCTGTAGCATCGCTTGAAGAACCTTTTGAAGCACCTTTATTTTTAAGAGTGTACATTGTCCTGCTAACCGTCTCTGTTAGAATGTTCACAAACTTTTTCTTTTAGAAGTACATAATTCTTTCCCCCGGTATTGCTTCCTCTGCTTCCTTTTCAGTCCATTTTGTGTTAATAATACCCACCACCAAAACATAAACACAATAAATAAACAATAATTAGATTAATATGTATTTTTTACATCTCCATAGGGAAAATTAACTTGTTAAATATGTTGTGTAACTAAATATTCACATATTTATATCATCCACTAGCAACCAAACTTATAAAACAACTATAAAACCTTTATAATTAAGGTAGTACATAAAGCATATATGCAATATTAAAAATAACTAATAAATAAATATTACTTATTAAACAAACTTAAATTTACCATTTACACTTAAATGGTTTTATACCTCAGACCATTCCAATTCTTAATGAGAAGCAAGTTATTACATTTCTAAGAGACTTGACTTACAATTTTCACCCAGGAAATTATGAAACGGGTGAAAACTTTTCACTTGACTTGTTTAAAAGCAGTAAGTTTTGCTCTTTAGCAATTACAAATAAATAAATAATAGATTGTTTTTAAACTATTATTGTTTTATTTTTTAATTAAATGTTTTTAGCAGCTTTTTGAGAACCACATTTAAATGTAGTTTCTCTTTGCTTTCATGGATTTGGCCAAGGTCTCTGTATAGAGCACACTGTCCAAATGATTCTCCAGTTGATGGAAGTATTTGGCTTGAATAGCAGCAAGTATTTCTGCCATTGTCTTGGTAACCACATTGCTGTGTGGTCTACTGCTTACGCAAAAGGAATACTTTTGAAAGGGGGGTGAAGAATTATTACAACTCGCATTAGAAAAGTTTGCTTCTTCAGGATCAGGTTTCCTGTCACCATATGGTCACAGAAAATCTGACCCGGCTGTGGTACACTGTCAATATCTCACTTTACAACTTCGCACTAAAACTGCACTTTTAAAAGGTGAAAACACACGAGTGGAAACATGTGCCAGAGATTCTTTTGGGTGGATTCTTGGTAACAAGATGAGGAAATTTAGAGGTCAGGATTCGGTCATCCTGTTGGAAAAAGAAACACACCCAAGTACTTAAAAAACAATCTTTATTCAAATATACAAAAATATCATCTTGTGCTTTTACCAATAACAGTAATATATTTCTAAAAGCAAAACATTTTGTAGCAGTTATAAATAAATACAATATCTAGTTTATAAAATACAACAACAAAAAAAAAAGTTAAAAACTTGAAACTTCAATGAATCCATGTGCAGGAATGACGCTAAAGCAAAGGAGCCGTCCGATTGTTTGCCCTGTGGTTGAGAATCCAGATAAAACACATTAAGGACAATAAACACGACACAATAACACATTAAGAATAATTCACTGAGACTATTTTGCCAGAACTACCTCACAACTAATGAGTGTATTAGTCACTAGATGAAGTCATGACAAAAGAAAACTCACATTAAGCTAATGAAGATTCAGATATGGGTGGATACCTTGAGTTTAGACACTTTGATTTAGCAATAACTCTTCTTTTGCCCTCAGTTCTTCACCAGTATTGTATGAACTATGCAGCATTATCAAACAAAGAGATACAGTAAAGTCATTATAATACATTATTTATTGGACGCATTCATTTTTTGTTAATATTGAATTAGCCATCCGCTCTGCATGCTGTTTGGATGTAATTAGTATTTGGTCATACATTAGCTCTGCGTAGTTATTTCTGTCATTTTGCCAGCAGCACCAGACCAGCCTTTCCTTTGTGACAGCACAGCTTTTAATTAAAACGTTTTATTTTTAACCTACTACGGCTCATATAATACATGTTCACGGGGTACATCAGCAATAATTTACTTGAGATTGAGGTTGTTTGCCCATTAACTCATGATGAGCATGCTGGGAATGTTAAGGTAGGAACTTGCATGGACTTTCTGACTTCCTTCAAACCAGTACAGTATGTGAAACTTTATTTTCTATTATATTGTATAAGCTTTATTAGCCCAAAAGCACTTCTTCTGTCATTGTACAAGAGAATCAAACTAAAAAATGAACAATTAAAAGTGTGCCACAGCCACAAATCAAGCACAAGGACAGATCGTTTTCTGATTGATAAAAACATGAATCAAAGTGCGTGTGTATTTTTTTGTCCATCCTCATCCTCATATGAAAAGATGGGATTCATGCAGGAAATGGCAAGAGGAAACCTGATGTTAATGTGTGGATGAATGCATGTGTACAGCAGCATGCAGTTGAAGTGAAAGTCAGCCATGCTTAGCTGCGCTAGGATGATTTTAAATCAATCAACAGATTAAGAGATATACTCACCCTTTGCGTTTTAAATTACGATATCCAAAAAACACACCCACTGTGGAGTAAGATCATTTCAAATTTCAAATGCTTTGGAATGGGGTCAAGAACAGCTGTGCATCACAATCAAAGGCACCAAAGCATGACAACATACAGTACCATTCAAAGATTTTTTTTACGTTGTTGAAAGTTTCTTATGTGAAATGTTTTTACAATTTTACTGTTATTTTTATGTTTCCTATTTTATAATATTTTAAAATGCAATTTATTCCTGAAGCAAATCTGCATTTTTAAGCAGTCACTACTCCAGTCTTCAATGCTTCTTGATATTTCTGTGGAAACCGTGATAGGAATTTTACATCTTCTGCACATTTATAAATGTCTTTACAGTCACTTTAGATCAATTTAATGTATCCTTGCTGAATAGAATAATATAAAAAGTAAAAAAAAAACATTTTTAATGACCCCAAAACGAATGGTATACACTATACTATCTATACTGTAAATAGCTCAATCCAAATAATTCATATACTCACAGACAGCGGCTGTACTCAAGCCAACTGCAACATACAAGATCATTTGTGTTATTAGTGAGTATAACAGTGAGACACATGAACAAAAGGAAATGAACATTCAATAGATACAGTATGTGGTGGCCCTCAGTTATAGTAGTGATCACTCCTCTTATTTGGAACTTATGCAAGACAAAATAAGCCATTATCATCACTGACTGTTATATAATATGGTGACATATGTTGTACGACAAACTAAAGTAACCTCCATCTACAGTAACTGCATTACTTTCCTGAGGGTGATGTAGTCAGACATTGAATTCAGTACAGTATCATTGGATTTAAAGGATGAACTCACTTAGAAAGCCAGTAGTGAGCTTTTTGTAGTAGCGTCCTCCTGCAATAAAACACATAATCAAATAACCATTACAACATAACCATGACAAATAATTAGTGTGAAACCTGAAGAAAAGCTGGGCTGGACTCCTTACCATGTGAACGGGTGGAGGCTGTTGCCGTGTCTGTTGTTGTGGCTTTGTTTGTAGTAGTGCTTGCTTTTGTCTGTGTTATGATGACTGAAAAAAAAAAAATGAATACGTCATTATCTGCTTTTGCCATCTTCTCCAATTCAACATTGCACATGTTGCATAAACATCTAGACAATTCAGTTGATTTGAACAATGTATATGGAATGCAAAACCACCGGAGAAAGATCCACAGATTTCTGAAGAACAGGAACGCCCATCATTCACAAATTTGTTTCATATTTGATCTAATTTGACTATGCTTTTAGCTACAAGTGCAGCAGTACTCTAAGCAGAATGCAGCAGAGTTTCCCTCAAAATCAGTGCAGGAAGTGCTGCAGGTTCTGTACAGGCCTACTTAATCACTCATATCACGAATGCACAGTTGCACACCTTGGAATATAAATTCCCATCCATTATAGCGTTCGGAAGGTTCAGTTTACAGATATATTCAATTTTAATTAATCGGTTGTTCAATATCAGGTGTACCAATAAATGGCTCAATTTAGTTGTCAAGTGACTTATTCGTTTTATTATAATTTATTGTAATATTATAATAATTATATAAAATGTGCAAAAATGAAAAGTAATAAGTCACTTGATAACAAAATGGAGCCTACATATCTACATCTATCTATATCTATCTATCTATCTAAAAAAAAAAAGTTCTGCATATTGGAAACTTAAAGGTGGGGTAAGCGATTTTTCAAAAACGCTTTAGAAAACCGATTCGGGCAGAGTAGCAAAACAAACTTGTAGCCAATCAGCAGTAAGGGGCGTGTCTACTCATGATGTGGAGGAGAGAGTGTTCAGTGCACAGCATAGGACGGACATTAACCGAGCCGAGTGACAGAAAGATAGAGGCGGATTAAAAAAAACAAAAGAGGAAAACGTCTGCGGAACAAAAGAAGGCTTAAGGCAAGAAGTAGGACCCGTGTAAATATCGGATCAGCTTTCCAGCGCTGGAGAGAACTCAAGAAGCGGAAGGCCTGCGATCGGATGCTGTCGGTGAATTGTAGTGTCGTGCCGTATCCAGTGTAGACCATAGATGTGTATATATATATATATATATATCTATGGTGTAGACAGGATCACTGATTATAATGAGTTCTATAGTATTTTGTCGTGCCGCGCCACTCGCATCCGGTGTAGACATGGTGTAACATTGGTTTTGCTTTGTTTCACATAACTAATCGTTGCCTGGGTTGCGTGTGGGGCGGAGCTATCAAAATAGGGGCGAGACCCTTTTGGGGTAGGGGCGTGTTTGTTTTGCTGATTTCAAATGTCAACACTGGCTACCAGAAATCGCTTACCCCACCTTTAAAAATGATTGGTAGAGCTCATTTAGAAGTTTTTTACTCTTCTCACTATTAACACTCCAGCTAATTTTTATGGCATTTTGTATAATGTTCTTCCAGCACTGCCAGGCACAGCTATCCGATACTCCCCAACCTGCACCATGATGGTTTCACAGAATGATACATCACCTCCCTAGAAATATTTTTCAACAACTTCCTGTCACCAGCAGGACTATGATGAAATGGAAACATGAGGCTGAGATGATTCTGTAGGGCTTGGAGGAAACAGACCGGGAGCGGTGAGTCACTGAAGACTCGCTATTACAGATCACTTCAACATATACAACTAAGACAAAAAAAATCCATAAATCACAAAAGGCCTGATGGACCTGCTGAACAAGAAGTAGAAGGTTACCTAGAGATGACATGGAACATAAATAAACAGGTCAATAAGAGGACAAAACAATAAAATACAATAAAGTGAAAGGGCAATGCAATTCAACTGCGCTGTGCAGGAATAGCAGGATGAGTTCAGCAGGCTGAGTTCTAACATGCAGTGCCCTGATGGTGCTGCAACACCAGTGATTGAATCCAAATACAAGCTCAGACTGATCAAGGGTCAGATCTTGAAGCACCATTACTTATACTTTTACTTAGCGATAGGTTTCCAGTGGAAAAACAACTTGGCATCCACAGTAAAAACGACAACACTATGTCATGCAAATCACACAAGAACAGCCAATAAGAATATATTTGAGTGCATTATTATAAGTTATAGCTAAAAATCAACCTCCCTATGTAGAAAATAAATGGAGTTGTAACTTCTGGAACTGGCTGTTGCACTCTATGCACAGCTACAGTGTGTGGAGCTAGATGCTGGACCAATGCAACTGTTTGTGGGTGGAGCTTCCCACTGTCATTCAATGCAGCTAATTAGGACAAAAAAATGTATGTGACTGGAGTAAAAACTTTAATTCCAAAAACTGACCTATGCATTCCGGAGGTGATGAACTATATTCCCCGTATTCACCACATGTAATGGAGCTGTTGCCAACGAGGGTGTAGTTATCATCGCAGGAATATGTAATGACATCATTAAACACAGGTTCACTGGGTCCAGCCCTCTTGCCATGCTTAATTGGATCTGGATATTCGCATACTGTAACTATAAGAGACACGGTGAAAGAGAAGCTGTTACAACATCTCTGACTGTGAAGTTGCTCTAGACAACACAGATGTTGATACTGAATGCACATTAGGGTTACTACAGTAAACTAAAATCATTTTTAAAAAAACTCAAAATAACAAACATGAAGTGAATTCAAATCAAATGTAAACATTTTATTTCAGCAAGTTGCCCAGGCAATGTTTTCATTTTCAATTAATTTTAACTTGATGTGTTTAAATAACTATAACTGAAAGAAAAATTACGAAAAACTATATAAATATACTTAAATAAGAAACAAAAGAGATAAGAACTAAATTACTAAAAGTTTAACAAAGATGAAAATATAAAAATGTATAAAATTAATTTAAAATATTGAGAAATACTATAATAATGTCTAAATTATATTAAAAATAACACTTATATGAATCTATCCAAAGATGAGGACTCACATATACATTCAGCGCTTCCACTCCATCCAGAAACAAGACATTGCCTGTGGCTTGATCCTTCCAGATCATATCTGGATTAAAGACAAAAACAAAAATCAATTGCAAGTATGAGTGCAATATGGACAGTAGGGGCCACAGCGTTCCTCACCCTGTCTCACATATGGGTTGAATGTAGGCACCAAAAAATGTTCCATCAGGTATGGAGTACGTCATATGTGGTGAAAGTTCAGGTTGTCTACAATCCATCTCTGAAATGAAAGCAAACACAGCAGTTTAGTACTTGATACAATTTCTTTTAAGGGGAATGTCCCAATTTAGAAGTCAAAAGTGAATTACTTTTCACTGGAGTCCAGTGAAAACGTTAATTTCACTGGACTCCAGACCCCGTTCACACAGGTGATTGAAGTCGGACCTTCATCTCTCTCAAATCCTTTAGCACACTCCACAAACGCTTCTGAATTGTCTGGGAAGCTATTCTTCAGTATGGATTCCGAGGACAAGACAATTTTGCCATTCAAAACAGGAAATGGACACGCTGCTACAACAACCACAATTAAAGATTTTAGTCAAACGTTTAGGGTCAGTAAGATTTGTGTGTGTGTGTGAGTGTTTGTAAACGAATAAATTCTTTTATTCAGGACACATTAGTTTGATCAAAAGTGACAGGGAAAACATTTATAGTTTTACAAAAGATTTCTATTTCAAATAAGGGCTGTTCTCTTTACATTTCTATTCATCAAATAATCCTTTCAAAAATGTTCTCGGTTTCTTTCCACAAAAATATCAAGCAGCACCGCTTTCAAGCTTCGCCATCAGAGGTAAATTACATTTTTAAATCTATTCAAACAGAAAAGCTATTTTAAATAGTAATAATATTCCACCATATCTGTTTTAGTGTGTTTTTGACCAAATAAATACAGCATTGGTGATCATAAGAGACTTTAAAATAAAAAAAAATAAAAAGCTTAACCTCAGTAATCCCCCCTTTAAATGCATTTTATTTGTATTACAAGTAGTTAAATGTATGCACTTGACAAGTACAGTATATTGCGGCTCCACCAACAGGAAAGTTCCGATATCTGTCTTTCATACCCTGCTTTTAGAATGGTATTTTTCCATTTGACTACTAATTGTGGCTCACTCTAGCCCTCCGGCCTTTCCTCACTCTAGCCCCGGCCTCTGCTCACTCTAGGCCGCCGCGGCTCACTCTAGGCCACCGTGTGTGACGCTGTGTTTCGTTATGAAAGCGAAACTACTTTGTTTGGCCTTCCAAAAGAGGACACGACTAGAAATCAGTGGTTAAGTTGTATTTACAACACTGTTCCAGAACAGTTCAACCCAAATATTCAGATGTGTGCAGCACATTTTATGGAGGACCGTTTCCTGATCCTGGGAGAGTAGACTACAATGCCGGCTGTTCTGACTCAAAGACTGTAAGTATGTTTTTTTATATTTTAAGAGTTTTTATATTTTATATATTTCTGTCTCACATATGGGTTGAATGTAGGCACCAAAAAATGTTCCATCAGGTATGGAGTACGTCATATGTGGTGAAAGTTCAGGTTGTCTACAATCAATCTCTGAAATGAAAGCAAACACAGCAGTTTAGTACTTGATACAATTTCTTTTAAGGGGAATGTCCCAATTTAGAAGTCAAAAGTTAATTACTTTTGCAGGATAATTTCACTGGACTCCAGACCCCGTTCACACAGGTGATTGAAGTCGGACCTTCATCTCTCTCAAATCCTTTAGCACACTCCACAAACGCTTCTGAATTGTCTGGGAAGCTATTCTTCAGTATGGATTCCGAGGACAAGACAATTTTGCCATTCAAAACAGGAAATGGACACGCTGCTACAACAACCACAATTAAAGATTTTAGTCAAACGTTTAGGGTCAGTAAGATTTGTGTGTGTGTGTTTGTAAACGAATACATTTTACATTTTAAAATCTATTCAAACAGAAAAGCTATTTTAAATAGTAATAATATTCCACCATATCTGTTTTAGTGTGTTTTTGACCAAATAAATACAGCATTGGTGATCACAAGACACTTAAAAAAAAAAAGCTTAACAACCTCAGTAATCCCCCCTTTAAATGCATTTTACTTGTATTACAAGTAGTTAAATGTATGCACTTGACAAGTACAGTATATTGCGGCTCCACCTACAGGAAAGTTCCGATATCTGTCTTTGATACCCTGCTTTTAGAATGGTGTTTTTCCATTTGACTAATAATTGTCGAGATTCTATTAAAAACATAAAATTCAAAGAAACAGATCAATCCCAACCCAGGGTTGTCTCGTGTTTTAGCGGCATTTGTTCATGAAATTGCTCAGACAGGCTGTTTTCAACGCGCTGAAAAGTTTCTGAAGTTGACAGACTGACTGAAAAAAACAATCATTCAAGACGTTTAATTTAAAATCAGCTTACCTTTGCCCATAGAGACCAGTGAAAACGGCAGTAGAAGCAGTGGCCAAGCCTTCACACCTGTCATCGTTATTTGAATAGATTTTGTTTTTCAGCAACAAACACTTGTCGTGAATATACAACAACCGACAGAAAAACTTAAATGATGAATTAACGATAAAGCACTAAGTTACACGGTAGATATTCCCCATATTAGCTTCATTAGTCACTTCCCCGCTGCAAAGGAAAAGAAAAACGGGATAAATAAAAGGAAAAAGCGCTTCTTACATTGGCGTGTACTACGACTGAACATCTGAAGGGAATCTAGTGGCTCACTCTTGCACGAATGCTCGAGGAAACACGCCCATTCTGTGACGCAGCCTGCCCTTCCCTCAGACTAAACACTGACAACATGATTCAAAGATACTGGCTGTTGCTCTCTGTGAAATACTAGCGTGCTTACTGTGCAGCACAGTATACACAGCCTGCCTAATATATTTAAAAATAGTATTTAATCTCTTTACAGTGTGTAACAATAATTGTTTTAAACGAATACTGTATATGGGTGATTCTTAGACTATGGGCACTTTTATGTTCTTTGGTCATATTTATAAAAATACATATAATTTTGGACAAATTCCTCTTTCTTAGTCAAACTAACAATAAAACCACCTTAAAAACTACTACCTTTCTATTATGATTTTTTCATACTTTTCAACCTCCTTATAGGTGTCAAAATCACTGTTTTCTCCTTGTCGCACACCCAGACTTTTAAACTTCAACAATGAAAATACAGTTTAAAAATATGACTTATCTGGTAACTATTAATGTACCTGAATTAAGCACTAGTAAAACCATTCAAATACATAATAGTATTTATTGTGAGACCACGATCAATATTACTTTCTATACAAAATATAGCTGTCGCACAGTATTGGTGTCATTTCCACCACAACAATGTAATGTCCCGGACAGAGCTGATATAAATTCCTTTCAAATCAGTTTTGCCAGTAGACTCAGCAGGGGTACAACAGGGCTAAAGGCACCCCAAGGCAAAATATATTTTTGATTTTTTTCTCTGAAATAAAATAGCAATAAATACAGTAGATACATGAGATACAATTAAAATGTGTTGATTTTAAGGTCATTTTGAAAAGGCTGATTGAACAGTCTTCAGTGTCACATGAAATCATTCTAATATGCTGATTTGCTCAAGAAACATTTTTTATTATTATCAATGTTGAAAACGGTTGTGTACAATTTTTACAGTTGTGTACAAGGGAATAAAAAATGTGTAATTCAGCTGAAATATAAAGCTTTTGTAACATTCTTCTACTATATACAGTATTTATTATATACTACTATAATTTATTATTATATACTAATAGGTTTGGAATAATATTTGTATTAATAAAAGTATTATTCATAAATCTTTAAGTATATATTATTTATATAATATATAATCATAAATCAATAATATAGTTGTTATATACTACTATTGTTATTTATGTGATGCTAATTATAAATCAGTTTCTATTTGTACTCTATTAATCTGCCATTTTATTCCATCCTTTACCCTCGGACACTCAAAAATCCAGTTGTCCACAAGTTGTATCCAGTGCCCACTGGCACCGATACAAGGCTAAGTTGTAACATAAGCACAGCTCATGCAACCAACCCCAGGGTTCTGGCCAGAATCCACTCGCATTTACTTGGAAAACCTTGCTTTCATTACAGGACAACTTGTGCTAATTACTAGTCAATGCTTTTATCCAAAGCCACTAAGAGTCCACTTCTTAGATAAACAGTCCCCTTAGAGCAACCTGGGGTTAAGTGCCTTGCTCAAGGTCGCAGAACATCCTTTGAGGAATCTGAACCTATAACCTTTTAGTAACCACCTCAGAACGCTAACCACAAGGCTACATGACCTGCATTGTCATAGACTGAAACACTTTTCAGTTTGAAATCGAAGCAGCCACCTACTGATATAACAGCTTCAAACAGCAATCCATGTCAAACATCCAGCAAAACACCATTCATTGGTGCACTAGAGAGACACTAAACAGTCCTAATTGGAGTGTGCCAGCTGACAGAGGTAATGCAACAGGGGTAAGTCTCCATGAACAGATGTCTGAAGGGAAAATATAATTAAAGAGAAAAAGCAAACACACATAAAAAGAGAAAGAAGCATGGCTAGCGTAATTGATTAATATGATGGAGGACATTAGGGAGCTCAGGGCTACATCTCAGCTCTGAATGTTCTGTGCACATTCAAAACATCCATTTTTTTATGTTTTAAAAACGTTATTTTTGTTGAATGTTTTATAAGGGAACATTCCATTTTATAATTTTGCAAACATTACACAAACATTTTGCAAACAATTTTTTTGAATACTCTGAAACAAGTAGTAACATTTGAAAAACATCAGATGAACTTCAAATGGAAATGTTTCAGAAATAAAATATTTCATTAACTATGTATAATAATGTTTTTTTTGTGATAATGTTTTGAGAACATTATTAAAGACCAAATAACTCTCAATGAACATTGCATTAACATTACTAGAAGACCATTTGTTCATAACTTTGCTAAAACGTTAGTCAAAGTTCTGAGAAGTGAGAATGTTTCCTGTTATCTGACATGCAGTTGTCACTTTTGAACTCTAGAGAATATTTTTCAGGGTGTTTTTAAAAATGTATTGACATATTGACATAAATTGAAGCATATGCAAAATGCAAAAAAAAACAGAAAGATCAATTATTTATGTTTATTTGTTTCTTTGATAATTTTTTGGCCAGAAATATAAAAAATGGTATGAATGGTACAACAAATGGAATAAATTACAATATATGAAACGAGTGACAACTTGCCCCAACCTGACAACAGTGCAAAATATCCATTTACTAAGTACACATTTTAGCCTTTTAAGTTAAAATTTATGCTAATTATATATTATAATAATAATGTTTAAAACCAACATATCATAACTTGATACTTAAAGATATCATAGCTCTTAGATACTTAAAATATAATAATAATAATAATAATACAAAAAACAAACAAAAAAATTTGATATTATCACAATACTTTCAAGTGACTATTTACATATTTTAAATAAAACTTAATTCTATTAAATTAAAAGCCTTTGTGAATTTGTTACAGTAAAGTCTTTAACAAACAAAACGAAACAACACTGGAAAGCTAATCATAAGCTTAATATTAAGTCTCTCTTTGTTGACTGAAAGGATGAGCTGTGTTTAACAACGGTGCACATCTTCCGCAACTGAGCAAGAACAGGGATTATATTTCCCCATTTATAACAGAAATCAGCCATGACAGAGAACCTATCGAGGGAGATACATGTTTGACATAGCTTGATGGATGTTCTCCTACACTGTAACCCTGCCCTCAAACATTGACTAATTCATAGACGCCAACAAATATATACAATCTTTCTGTGCCTGTACACTCTGGGTGGTTTCACACACAGGTGATGTGCTCCAGCAAGGGCGTTTCAGAAGCGTGAATGTGAAAATGCGCCATTCACATTCATGACTGGTCCTAGCCTACCTGAAGGACATCACTGGACCCTTGCTGGATCCTCTTCAGTTTGCCTACAGAGCAAACAGGTCTGTGGATGATGCAGTCAACATGGGACTGCATTACATCCTGCAACACCTAGACAGACCTGGGAATTACGCAAGGATCCTATTTGTGGACTTCAGTTAGGCCTTCAATACCATCATGCCTGACCTTCTCTCAGACAAACTCACCCAGCTCTCCGTGCCCACCTCCATCTGTCAGTGGATCACCAGCTTCCTGACAGACAGGCAGCAGCTAGTGAGGCTGGGCAAACTCACATCCAGGACTATCACCATCAGCACTGGCACCCCCCAGGGATGTGTACTCTCCCCACTGCTCTTCTCTCTCTACACGAATGACTGCACTTCAAATGACCCCTATGTCAAGCTCCTGAAGTTCACGGATGACGTGTGTAAACATACTTGGTAATAAAGCTCTTCTGATTCTGATTTGTTTGATACACTGTTGTTGTCACTTTTGCATTAGTTGCCTGTAGTAGCCATGTACACATTAGTGTCACGTGATCCTTCAGAAATCAGTCTAATATACTGATTTGATGCTCGAGAAACTTTACTTATTACTCATTATCAATGTTGAAAGTAAAGATAACAGTTTTACATATATATACAGGCTATACGAGTGTGATATTGCTTATATATATACAGTGGGGAAAAAAAGTATTTAGTCAGCCACCAATTGTGTTTACCAATTAATTCTTTAAAAATCCTACAACGTGATTTTCTGGATTTGTTTTTCTCATTTTGTCTCTCATAGTTGAGGTATACCTATGATGAAAATTACAGGCCTCTCTCATCTTTTTAAGTGGGAGAACTTGCACAATTGGTGGCTGACTAAATACTTTTTTGCCCCACTGTATATATATATATATATATATATATATATATATATATATATATATATGTGTGTGTGTGTGTGTGTGTGTGTGTGTGTGTACAAAACCGTTATCTTTACTTTCAACATTGATCATGAGTAATAAGTAGGCGGTGTCTGTGTCTGTGTGTGTGTGTGTGTGTGTAAAACAGTTATCTTTACTTCTGAAGGATCATGTGACACTAATGATGCTGAAAATTCTGCTTTACCATTACAGGAATAAAAAATACTTTTATAAATAGAATAGAAAATAGAATAAATAAATAGAAATAGAATAGACTAAACAGAAAAGTTATTTACAATTTGAATGGTATTTCACAATATTCATGTTTTACTGTATTTTTGATCAAATAAATGCAGCCTATATTGCGGATGACTTTGAGATGTAAAACATGAAACATAAGAGACCGAAGCATCCCCAGAATCTGTTCATGATTAAGAGCATTTATTAAATAAATTAATGCTGTTGCTATAGTGTGCATGTGTTTGAATAACAAAAGTGCAAATGAATCCAGTCTGCTGAAGGCAGTTTCCAGTTTTCATTTTCAGAGTTCATGGAATGTGTGAGTCAGTGTAAGGGTGTTCCCCAACAAGGGCGTCCCTCATGAAGCTTTAATCTGATGATATTTGATAGTGTAGCCTAGTTACAATGGCATTTTCTTCCTCAGTGCTTCATGGTAACTATTTACCATACACCTAAATGCTAACATCAGTATTTAGTTATTTTGAATCTCGCTGTGTTTCAGTAACACATGGCTATTTTCAGTGTGTGCATGTGTGTGTACTTCCATAGAAACAGTGGTTTTGATTGCTATAGTAACAGTGTGTACTTAAGCACAAAAGCGTTTAATGATTCAAGCGTCATAGCTTAA